GACATACATACATACATACATACATACATACATACATACATGCATACATACATACATACATACATACATACATACATACATACATACACACATACATAAATACGTACATACACAAACATACAAAACAGAACTGTCGTTTGTAATGATCTTTTTGTTAGATATTCAATTTAATAATTGCTCGGCGTTCTCTTGGAGGTCGCCCTACATTTTTATTTTTTTAATTTTTTGTTTTGTATTCATTTTTCTCCTTTTTTCTAATTCCAATGTTTAGATTTTCTAATTTATTAGTAGCAATACATGTTTTTTTATTTCTTATTTTGTTGCATTATACTGAAACTATATGTATTTATGTATGCATGTTTGTATGTATGTTCACAAGGGTACATTCAAATATGTATGTACGTTTATGTTGATGACGATAATATGGGTGATAATAATGATGATGATGGTGATTAAAAAATGATGGGTGAAAGATAATATGGGTGATAATAATGATGATGATGGTGATTAAAAAATGATGAAATGAGACGACGACGACGATGGTGATGGTGGTGGTAATAATAACGATGATGAAAACAAAAGTGGCAAAGTAGATGACGAAAATCATTAAAAAAAAATAAAAAATAGATTACGACAATGCTTATGTGGCTGTTGTAGTTGCTGCTGCTGCTGCTGCTGATGATGATGATGACGTGACGACAATGACGACGACGACGATGATACTAACGATGATGATAATGATACTGATGAGATTGACGATGATGATGATGATGACGACGACGATGATGATGTTGACTGACATTGTGTGAACAAGCAATGTCAACACACAGCTCGCCTGCCCCGGCATATGCTCCTTCGTATGATTAAAAATTATTATTATTATTATATTTAATATTATTATTTAATATTATTATAGTTATAATTAACGTTATTATAGTATATATATTTTATATTTTAGGTATAGTTGTGTATTACGTATATATGTATTTATTTGTATTGTATCTAATTGTGTATTTGTTTGTACAAATTGTAAGTTCTTTGGTATTTGGGTGATGTTATATGTATGATTTTTTGTATTGTATGTATTTTTTGTATTGCATGTAGGTATTTATATTGTATGTAGTGTGTATTGTATGTACAAACATACAAAAATGTAAAATTTTTGTATCTACGTGACTATATTTGAATATGTTGAATGATTTTCCAAGGTTAAAGGCGTTTTGGGTGTTTGCATTTAATTACAATTTTATCACTACTACTACTGCTACTACGGTTACTACTATTGTTGCTGCGGCTGCTACTACTACTACTACCACTACTTTTACTACTACTACTATTACTACCACTACTACTACTAATGCTGCTACTTCTACTACTGCAGTTGCTACTATTTTTTAGCACAACAATTAATATTGCTCAAGCTTCCAAAAATTAATACAAAATTTAGAAGACAAACATTCTGTAGTTTTACACCAAAGTTGGAAAATGAAAGTTTAAATGGGTCAGTTTAAAAATATTTGGGTCAAAATTTCAAAAG